ATTGCCCAGTCCAAGTTTTCTTTCTAAATACTCGGCGTTGTATTGAGCCATCCGGTTGTCTGTGTAAGAAGACTTCTAGGAAAGCGAGTTCCTCGTTCGCCTCTGTTTCCACTGTAAAGGTTGGCGCTGTGTGGGCCGTATTAAATGTTTGGACTAGACCATCGATATCAACGGTCATATGTGTCAGGCAAAAGATGTCATCCACGTATCGACCATAGAACTTCAGGTCATTGATAGTGTCTTTGAGCGTCGTTTCCTCGATCTTGCCAACCAAGAAATTTGCGACGAATGGTCCAAGTGGTGAGCCCATTGCCACTCCGTCTATTTGCCTGTATGGCCGGCCATTACAGAGAAAATGTACATTTTGTGTACAGTACGTCAGTAGTTCTTTCAGCCTCTCCATTGTTATCCCTATCTGGTAGTTTGTTTCGCGTATGAAGTCGCATAGGTATTCTATGGTTTCAACTACCGGGACGTTGGTGAACAGTGAGGATACACCTAATGACAGCATAATCGTTTCGCCAATGTTTGTATCCTGGATAGCCTCGACGGATTCAAACGTGTCTTTAAGGCTTCTTGCGTACAAGCGGCTCTGCAGTGGCTTTAACTTTTCGGCAGGCCATTTTGCCACGGCGTGGTAGGCGAATTTCTCATGTGCAAGATAGGGCGGAGTGGCACGCCTTTTTTATGAATTTTCGGGAGGCCATACATTCTTGGTATTGTAGTACCAACCGGCCTTAGCCCTTCCAGCTCCTTGTCAGATAAAATTCCTTCTTTGTGGAGTTCTTTGTCAATCGTCATTGGTTCTGTCTCCTTGAAGACATGATATAATGACATACTTTCCGTGAATCTGGGAAAATGGCACCAGCTGATCATTCACGAGTAACTGGAACCAGCGGAGATACGGTGTGACATTGGCTAACAGCAGCTGGATAATGAACCTCAGAGGCAAATGTGGACTGTGCATAATTTGGCATAGGCTTTTTGTTTGTTTGTTGATTAGGGAAAAACATGACGTTCCACAAGTGTTTTATCTCTGCAAGTGATGACTTTATTTTGGCTCAGACATTAAAAACATGTATAACACCAGTGTCAAGAGAATACAAAGTCTATTTTTATAACCAATCATTCCAATTCACAAAGAGAAGATACGATTGCTGGAAAAATAAGTTTGGTAGGGCTTTTTGTGAAGCCACCTGAAAATGTCTCTTCACCAAAGCTTCTTAAGGAATTCATGCTCAAAGGAATTTAAAGGGTAGGACAAACACGGGGCCGTTTGCGTGCGGGGACAATGCGCAGTATGAACTTAATTAAAGACACTTATAATACTGCAAATATTTCAATGTCTAACTTAAAAAGCTTATTCGGCAGACACATTTTCTGACATTCATCATCAGGCCGACATAATCATGGTGATAAATAAAATTTCACAGCTGTACGAAGTTAATAATTACCTTAGGATTTCACCTCATCGTTTTAACGCCGCCCACTTGAAGAGATTGGCGTGTAGAGGCCATTGCGCTTGGGGACGGGAAGAAATATGGATAGGCTGTTAGTTTTACCTTTACTTAAACAGGCCGGTGTGTGTTCACTTACCCTCTTTTACAGGCGCCTCATTGTTCGGTCATTGTATCCTTTTCCGCAGGAACAAGTGAAACAATAAATGCACATAGACGCGGCCTTCTACGGGAGTCGATCTTTGCCTCCCAAAAGTTGGAGGGGAGAGTTTGTAAAGAAGACGCGTAAGTTCACAGCGGCGAAAGCGCTTGTAGTTGCAGTTTTATCAGTTCGTTTGTTGAATCGACTAAGAAGGGCATTCATACGAATTCGTCTTTCTTGTCTGCGATTAAGTTTGCAGACTTTTCGGTGCGTTCGAAAATATTCCTGAAGATGAACCATTCTGCGTATCCACATTAAATGAGCGTGTTCTGCAAGTGTTGATAAAATCCTGGATTAGAATAATAGTCTATGGTCCTTTGGCAGGGACCTTGACTGTCCGTCGGTCCGAGTAGCAGGAGGAGGCTTCAAGGGGGCGTCTGTGCATGCTCTCCAGTCCGGTTCGTCCATTCTTGGAAACGTGCAGTATTTATAGGATAAAAGGGCCAATGGATGCGAGCCAATCCTACAAACATAGATACAGCTAATAGCACAAGCCTGCAAAAACGTATTGATAGCCGATAGGATTAGTTAAAACTGACTAGGGCTTTGGCCGAGACAAATGCGTGTCTCGGCCAATAGGGTCTGGAAGACCATGTTTATTAATGACCAATCAGAATTGGAGAACCTAACTGATTTAAACGAGTGTTTAAGGTGAATATACTCAAAATTAGTTAACAAATATTGTTAGAGGCAAAAAACCAGGCCATCTTAAGGGTATCTGCTACACTGCACCCTCCCCGAAAAAGACATCGCTGTCCTCAGCGTGTTCAATTAGATCTTGTGG